GTTTACTTATAGGACTTACTACCTTCTAACATGCTATATATCCTACTTTTTTTTTTTTTTTTTTTTTTGAGACAGTGTTTTGCTCTTGTTTCCCAGGCCAGAGTGCAATGGTGCGATCTCAGCTCACCACAACCTCTGCCTCCTGGGTTCAAGCGATTCTCCTGCCTCAGCCTCCCAAGTAGCTAGGATTACAGGCACGTGCCACCACACCTAGTTAATACTGTATTTTTAGTAGAGACCAGGTTTCTCCATTTTGGTCAGGCTAGTCTCAAACTCCCGACTTCATGGGAGATCTGCCCACCTTGGCCTCCCAAAGTGCTGATCCACCTGTGCTGATTACAGGCATGATCCACCATGCCTGGCCTTATATATTCTACTTATTCATTGTGTTTATTGTCTGTCTTCATTTCCTACACAATCAGCTGTGTGAGGGCAAGGGGCTACATGTGTTCCATTCACTGTAGCCTCCTTAGCACTTAGAATAATGACTAATGTAGAATCAGTCAGTGTTCAATAAGCATTTACTGAATAAAAAGCATGAAAGAATGCATAATGAAGATTATGATGTGACCTGAGAACATGTTTATAAAATATACCTTTGAGTGAAGAAAGCGAAACATAAAATACATGTACTAGGATTCTCACCACATATTTAGCAAACAAATACGGCATCCACTGGATGTCCTGCTAGACACTGGGGATAGAAAGTTGAATGACACTGAGTTTCTTGTTTGAAAGAGTTCATGGTCTGGAGAGAAGACAAGACTGTAAAACTATGCAGAGAGAGTTTATGAAGTGCCGCAGGACCCATGAAGCTGCAACTCTAAGAAAAGCAGCTCTCAATTCACAAGGCTCACACTGACCAGGCGCCCTGCTCATCTCTGCACATATGTAATCTCAGGTAATAGTCACGATGGCCCCAGGTAAGTGTTAGTCTTACCCCATTTAGACATAAGCCAAGGCACGGCAAGGTCAAGGAACTAATTTGTGTAGGGTCTCACACCCGATCCAGGCAGAGGTGGAATCAGAACCCACGCAGACCCACCTGCAGAGCCTGTGTGCTTAAGCACTGTGCCGCGTGCTTCTGGGCTTGTGCATACAGAGAGCTGAAACTCAAGCATGGGATGAACCGAAGTTTGATGGGTCAGCAAAGGAATTACAATATTCAAAGGGAATACACTAAAAATCTAGCAGCGAGATTTCTGGGGAGTAGCATTGAGTATACACTTATACTTTTTCGTACTTTTCAAATTCATTTGATTACATATTTCTTTTATCACCAAAAACAACATGGGGGGCAGGCGCGGTGGCTCATGCCTGTAATCCCAGCACTTTGGGAGGCTGAGGCAGGCGGATCATGAGGTCAAGACATGGAGACCATCCTGGCTAACATGGTCTCTACTAAATCTGTCTCTACTGAAAATACAAAAATTAGCTGGGTGTGGTGGGGGGTGCCTGTAGTCCCAGCTACTCGGGAGGCTGAGGCAGGAGAATCGCTTGAACCAGGGAGTCAGAGGTTGCAGTGAGCCAAGATAGCGCTGCTGCACTCCAGCCTGGCTACGGAGTGAGGCTCTGGGAAAAAAAAAAGAGAGAGAGAGAGAGAAAAAAACATGCCTAATATCATCTGTAACTTAAAGTTTTAATTAAAGAGTTAGTTTAAACAAACCAACAAAGAATATGGTTCTCATTGGATTATCTGTCCTGCCCTGATAAAAACTTCCCTTTGTGATACATTCAGCAAGATCTTTCCTCGGCTCCCTGAACTTTTGCTATGCTCAGAAATGCCCCCCACCTTTGCTGATTTAAGCATTGTTTTGTCTTTGCTGTTCCCTGAATGGTCAAAGTCCATATTAAAATGCAAGGGTTTTGCAACTTTTGTTGATGCAAGCCTAGCAAGAATTCCCAAGCATTTGTTTTCTGAATTAAACAGAAATGTCATTTTAGCTTTACGAACCGAAAAACATTTAGCTGTTTCTGAACCGAAGTTTGATGGGTCAGCAAAGGAATTACAATATTCAAAGGGAATACACTAAAAATCTAGCAGGGAGATTTCGCAGGGAGCTGTATTTGAAACAATGACTGGAAATCATATAAACGCTTGCTTCCCACTTTTAATTCCCTCTCATTTTTCTTCCTTCATCCATCTGCTGTTCCCGCTTTTTCAAATTTAGTTGCACTAGCTCGGATGTCACCACCTCTATGAACATCTCCTCACCCCAGTTAGTCAGGGATGAAAATCCAACTCACAAGAGCTTAAGATTTTAAAAAGAAGGAAAAAAGACAAGCAAGGGAAAAGAAAAGAGTTGGGGTGGGGGTGGGGTCTATTGACTCCCATAGCTGGAAGCCCAGGAGGCAGACCAGGAGGCAGATCTAGCCTCAGGCTTGGCTGAGTCCAGAGCCTGACATGATGCCATCTGACCTCTGTCCCTCTCACATCTTTTAGCCTGGCTTCCCTTCCACAGCTCCAGCGGCCCTCAATCCACATTCTCTTAGATCAGTTGTCCCAATATATGTGTGTGGTGGGGAAGGGAGGCAGGGAGGAGGGGTTACTTCTCTTCCCCAGCACCTACATATAAATTCAGGGTGGAATTCTGGCCCAGCTTGGGCCACGTACCCATGACTGTGGCAGACAGGAGAAGATCAAGTACCATGATTGATAATTGGACAAGATCCAGTGAAATGCGGGAGGGGAATTCCCCCAAGAGAAATTGAGATGCTGGAAAGACAAAAACTACACATGACGGAATTTTTGAATAAAAAAAAAAAAATCCACAATTCACCACCAGTCTATATATCTACACCTGCTTGCCATGTTGCTTGGCAGTTTCTCTCATCAAAAGATAAAGTCTATTTCACCCTGAATAGGGGCTGGCCTTGTTGACCTGCTTTGACCAATAGGATGCCTTGGAAATGAAGGTTTGCCATTTTCAAGCCTTGGCCTCAAGAGGCCTTGAGTTCATCTACTCTCTCCTTTCTCTGCCTTTGCTATGTGAACATGTCCAGGCCAGCCTGCTGGAGGAATGAGACGTGGAGCAGAGCCATCCCGACCCAGTAATCCTGGCTGAGGCCCCAGACACATATGAGAGCTCTGCCAAGATCAGCAATGCCACTGATGGCCCAAAGGTGACCACAGACACGTGAGCAAGCTCTGCAGAGCCCAGCTCGGGTCAGCAGAACCTCCCAGCCAACCCATACACTCAGGAACAAAACTAAATGTTTACTGTTGCATAGTCCCAAGGTTTTGTGGTTGTCATATAGCATTACTGTGGCAACAGACAACTGATACATTTGTATCTACTAAACCTCTTCCACATGCCCATTCTGCAGGCAACTAGTCAATCCCTTCTCTGTGTTCTCAGGACACTTAGTTATACAATATATTCCACACTATACTGTTGCAAGTTTCCTATTGAATTGTTACCATTTATTTTAAGCAAGTATTTACATGTCTATCTCCTTGCTCATAAGCTCTTTGGAGAGACAGGTTTTGGTTTTTTCTTTTGTAAATTTGTAAATAATTGTTAGTTTTCTTTTGTGTGTGAGAGAGAGAAACAGGGTCTCACTCTATCACCTAGGTTGGAGTGCAGTGGCACAATCGCAGCTTACTGCAACCTCCACATCCCAGGCTCCAGCAATCCTCCTACCTTAGCCTCCTGAGTAGCTGGGACCACGCGCCACCATGCCCAGCTAATTTTTTTGTATTTCTGGTAGAGATGGGGTTTTACCATGTTGTCCAGGCTTAAACTTCTGAGCTCAGGTGATCCACCCACTTCGGCCTCCCAAAGTGCTAAGATTATAGGCATGAGCCACAGTGCCCAGCCAAGAAGGGGCGATCTTTTGTATATCTTTTTGAGCCCAGCACTTGGCACAGGGTATGGTACAGAGAAAAAGCTAGTTAAATATTCACAGGAATTTGGAGGATGAGGAATACCACTCAAACTATCTGTGACATATTGCTTAAGTTTTAGAAGTTTTGTTTTTCACATTTGGATCATTAATCCACCTGGAGTTTAGTTTCATGCATTATACAAGTAGGCATTTGGCTATCCCAGTACTGTTTAACGAATATTCAACCTTTTTCCCCTGACCTGCGATGCCAAATCACAGCAGGTTTCTACATGTGCAGGTTTCCACATGGCTGGCAACTCCATTTGGCTCCATGAAGCTTCGTTGACCCCGGAGCAAACACACCACCTTTCTTATTTACCATTGTTTTATAACAAGTTTTGCATCTGTAGGACAAGTCACTCGGCCTTGCTCTTCCTTCAAAGCTTGCTTGGCTATTTCTGGCTCTCTATTTTTTTCATATACATTTTGCAGTCTGCTTGTGCAGTTATAACACACACTCCACCATGCACACCAGTGTCAAAAAATTTTTTGGAATTGTCATAGGTCATTTGGGAGAGAATTTACATCTTTAAAAATGGAATCTTCCTATGAAATTTATGATGTAATTCACCATTTATTAGATTTCATTTGCCCTTTAAATATGCCCAGGTTACCCACCTGGTCCAAAACACCATGATTCCTCTCCTGGATAACCTCAGCATCTCGCTAAACAGCCTCTCTGCCTGCACATCCCCTCCCACACAGTCTGTTTTCCATAAAGAAGATGGGGTGGTGGTGGTGGCGGCGGTATTTTTTAAGACGTAAATCAGGTCGTGGCACTAAAGTCCTAAAATCGCCTTGTAGCGCCAGTCTTGCCAAGCTCCACACTTTAATTGGGTAAATGAGTGCGTGAATGGACGCTGGCTATGCCAGGCCCCGGGAATAAAGAAATGATAAAGAGGCAGTTCCTTAAGGGAAACCCAAATGGTAAACAGTGGCCCCGGCCCGCGCAGAGCCCCACACCACGGTGAGGATGGGCTTGGAGTTCTCCCGGAGCCGGGGCGCGGTCGCTAGGCCTGAAGCGGAGTCGCGCGCGCGGGGCGGGGCCGGGACCGGGAGGGCGGGTCCCTGAGCCTCGTAGCTCCGGGGCGCGGACGCGCGCTCGCAGGCCCGCACGAGGACGCGCTCCGGGGACGCGCGAGGACACCGTGGCGGGAGAAGCGCTTCCGGTGGCGGCAAAGGCTGCACTGAGCGGGACCTGCGAGCTGCGCACGCTGCGGCCCGGGGGAGCGGTGAGTCGCGGGAGGCAGGCAGAGCCAGGTGGGTGGGAAACGCGCAGGGGGCCCGGCGGAGGCGCGCAGGCTCGGGCAGGCTTGGGCCGTGCACCTGCGGGCCGGCTGCCGGGAGACCCCGGGCTGGGAGGTCGGAAGCCCCTTCGCGGGCCGGGGATGCCTCGGGCCGGGGGGTCCCTGCACCTGGGGATCCCTGCCATCCTGCTGCCGGACAGCACCCCGCTTCCAGCATCCCGAGGCCCAGCATCCCGTGGGCCTCCTCTCCGGTGGGGAGAGCCCTCCGCCGCGTCCCCGCGCGCCTGGCCGCGCTGTCTTCGGCGCCTGCGTGGCGAACTCGCCGCGGGGACACCAAGATGGCTGCGTCCCGGACAGCGGCAGCCGGGTGGCCCGGTGCCTGACCCCGCGCTCCGAGCTCTCAGCTTTGCCTCCTGGTGCTGGGGTCGGAGGGGAGACCACCTGGTTCCTGTCCTGGAACTCGCAATCCAGTAGGGAGGTGATGTGCAAGGAAGTAGGTTCTTGGAATAGTAGTTGCTTTTCTCCTGAACTTTCACATCTGTCACAGGTCTCTAACCTGCCCAGAATGACAATAAACAGTCTACTAAGTGCGTGCCAGGTGACTTAGGTCCATGTAGTTTTACACTCTTCCAGCCCTGCGAGGTACTGGGTTCCAGATGAGAAAACCGGGGCTGAGAGAGGTTGAGTGCCCAAGGTCGGACAGCTGGCCATCCATAGTCCAAGGCCATCTGAGTCTCAGTCGTAAATGCTGCGTTCTCAAAGATGCTTTTCCTTGGCTGTGCTGCCTAAAATTGCACCCCCATTCCCACACACACCGTTTGTAACACAAACTCTGGATTTTTTCTTTAGTGTCTTTTGTCACTAGTTGAAATTAAAGGTGGTTGTTTCCTTCTCCACATGTGAACAGGGCCTATTTTGTCTTGCTCAGCCTTTCTATCCCCTGCACATAACAATTGCCTGCACCAAGAAGGCCCTCAGTGAATATTTGTTGGCTGCCTGAATGAAAAAGCCTAGCTCTGCTTGACCCCAGAGCTTGGGCACTTACTGCTCCGTAGGCAACTCTTTTCTGAGTCCCCATAGCTTTTCCCTTGTGCATTTCTCACAGTCCTAGTCCCTCTTCTGCCTTGACTTCTAGATTTTGACTTGGGTGCCTCTGGATTCTCCATTCTTTGTCCATCCCCCGTTTGATCTGCTTCAATGTTCCCGGCATTGTCATAGGTGCCCAAGGAGGATGCAGGTAAATGAGGGGGCTTTGCAGCTCCTACAGCTTCAGACTTGATGTAAAAGATGAGAGGGAACTGTTTGGGAGGATGAATGGGGTGGCTACCAAGAAGTTCGGGAACCTCAAGCAGGTTCTTTCTCTCCTCAGCACTGAGCAGGTGTCTCACTTTCAAAAATACAGTGTTTGGGCCAGGCGCGGTGGCTCACGCCTGTAATCCCAGCGCTTTGGGAGGCCGAGGCTGGAGGATCACGAGGTCAGGAGATCAAGATCATCCTGGCTAACACGTTGAAACCCCGCCTCTACTAAAAATACAAAAAATTAGCCAGGCGTGGTGGCGGGCGCCTGTGGACCCAGGACCCTGGAGGCTGAGGCAGGAGACTGGCGTGAACCCGGTAAGCGGAGCTTGCGGCCAGCCGAGATCGCACCACTGCACTCCAGCCTGGGCGACAAAGCAAGACTCCGTCTCAAAAAAAAAAAAAAAAAAAATACAATGTTTGGCAGTGAGGAGCTATCAGCTCCCATCTCAGCTCAGTACATATTCAAAGGTTAGATTGAGGCTTTCAGGCCACATGGATGTTCAGAAGAGGGATGATATCTGTGGTTACAGTTGTTAGAGAGGAACCTGTGTGGCAAGGGGTGTCATAATTCAGGATCAGTGAAATGTTTAGCATGTTCTTAATTTTCTGTAGAAGTTTTATGAAATCCCATGGGGATGGCTACAGAAAGGCACCAACTGGCAGGGATATCCCTTCCTGCTCCTCACTTTCTGCAAAGAAAGCTGAGAGGACAGCCAGGGCACAAAGGCCGTAAGAGCAGACCCGTCATCGAACTTTGTTGTTCTGGAAGCCTTACATTGAAGTCAGGCATCTGTATCCTGTTGTGTAGCAGTGGTGAGCTGCATTCGGTTAGAGTAGAAACATGAGTGTGACCAATTTTTCCTTTGTGGTTAAAGGTAAGAAATCAGAAGTAATGAATCCATTGTTTTAAACGGGGGGAACAAAGAGTTGTTGTCCAGAAAGTGAAAAATCATTAAGTTAGACCATGTATCAAACCTGCACTTAATTATACAAAGTTCAAAGTTACTAAGTTTTTCTTTAGCAGCTGTTAATTTGTAAAGTAGTTTTATAGACTTTGGTATATGGCATCCCTGAGTTGATTCCTATAAATGGATGGTAAAACTTCATCTGAATATGTCTAAAATATTACAGTTGGGTAGTGTTTGTCATTTTTTTCCAAGCTGATACCACCATCTCAAATAGAAATCAATAGAGTTTGTTTAAACTGGTAATAACATCACCCATCCTAAAATACTGCTTAAGAAATCCACACCCATAGTTGATCTTGAGGACCGGAATATGAGCAGTGGTTGTAATGTTACATCAGTGTTTTTGGTTTTTGTTGTGTTGTTTGTTTGTTTGTTTGTTTTTGGGGACGGAGCCTCGCTCTGTTGCCCAGGCTGGAGTGCGGTGGTGCGATCTCTGCTCACTGCAACCTCTGCCTCCCGGGTTTAAGTGATTCTCCTGCCTCAGCCTCCAGAGTAGCTGGTATTACAGGGGCCCACCACCATGGCTGACTAATTTTTTTGTATTTTTAGTAGAGACGGGGTTTCACCATGTTAGCCAGGATGGTCTCGATCTCCTGACCTCATGATCCACTCACCTCAGCCTCCCAAGGTGCTGGGATTATAGGCGTGAGCCACCGCGCCTGGTAGATGGGTGTTTTAAAGTTAATAGAATAGTGGGATCTGCATGGGGGGGAGGACATGGCAGTGGGAAGGGCAGGAGGCCTTGATTTTCCGTGTATTCCTGATTCTAGGCAGGCCCCACGTCTCCATGCAGAGCTATCCTGGAATAGGGAAGCATATGCAACACAAATCCATTGCTGAATGGAAATACCCTTGGAATGAATCTGATGCTTTGCACAGAATTCAACTCTCTGATCTATAATTCGATCCCCTGTGTGACCACGCCCGTAAGAAAGGGATACTATATGCAGATGCCCAGCCCAAACAGAAATCAGAGAATTTGCTTTTTAGGCTCCTTGAGTTAGTGCGATTGTCCTTGTCAGACACATGTTCTCTGGCCTCCAAAGACTCAGAATTGAGTTTCAGAGTCAGATAGAACTGTGAAGGCTGTGTCATCTTGGGCATGGCACTAAATTTCTCCGAGTGGCTCTAGAAAACAGGGGAAGATAACTTGGAGGGCTGTCATAAGGATTTAGCAATCTAACCATGCATGGAAAACTTAGTGTCTGGGTGCTCTGTCATGTTCCCTGGACAGTGGACAGCAGTGATTGACGGGCTGTCTCACACCTGCCTGGCCCTAGCTAAACAAACTGGGCAATCATACCCTGTCATAACTCTCAAACTACAGTAGTTTTAATGAACAGGCTTCCAGCTTAATAACGTAGTTATCATTGTTAATCTTTAGCCAAGATTAAAGGTCTTTATTACTAATTCCTGATGAAGCACATTCCCTGCTAACTTGTTTTCTACAATGTTTTGGAAAATTCTTTTTTCTCGAGTAGTTAAGCATTTTCTTAGCATGCAGCTAAAAATTTGAAATAAAGTTTATCTTGGAGATAAATTCTTTTTCTTACATGTTTCTGATCATCTTCAGGAAGCTCAGGCAGCCATTCCTGGCACCAGGAGCTGCATTTATGCACAGGACTATGGCCGGTAAGGACAGGAGCTTCCACTCATGGAAAACCAGCTTATTAATAATGATTGCACTTTTGTTTGGCACCTTAATAAAGATTAATAAAAGACTCGTACTCTTCAGTTTGCTAATCCTACCAACTCTATGAGCCAACTCTTATCTGTGTTTTATAGATGACAAAATTGAGGCTCGGAGATGTAAAGTAATTCACCCAGTCACATGTCTAGAAAGGAAATAACAGAATCAGGACTGAAATCTAGATTGTATTTGCTTAAGTCCGGTTCTCATTCCATAGGTTATCAGGGAGATTACACCACAGGGCAGGGGGCCTCCATCAGCAGGGACCAGCCAGAAAAAAACAGCTGTGTGTTGGGTCTTTCCAAACCCAGGACCAAGCCAGTGTTGAGTACGTAAGAGGCCTTCAGTGGATACAGAAGGCATAAGTTAATTTTGTTTGTGAATGAATAAATAAAAAGACTTTCAGAAATCTATTGGGATGAGGCTCCATGAAACTATATTTACTCGAAACCTTAGTTAAGAGATTGAATTTAAACAGTTTTTAATTTATGAGATTATTTCTGTCCCTTTTAAAGGGTGAAATAATTTTTAAACATATATAATCTGTAAAATAATCTGTTCATTTAAATGCAGTATCATGTCATAATTGTTAACAGTTCCAGATAGCCAACATCATTGTGAGAATGTCTTTATGTGATCAAACCTTAAAGTCATTTTTCTTAGCATAAGCGGCATCAGCCAACCACAGAATTTTTTAAGTCCCACTTTTTTCTCATACCCCACCAAAATTTCTTAATACCATTAAAATCTAAATATTTCTTTAAAATCATTCATGAAAAAGATTCTTAGAATTAACACCTCAATTGGCCAAGCACCAGGAAGCTACATTACAGCTACTGCAATACACGGAGACCGTCTGTCACCAATCATTTCCTTCTAGCACGTCTGTTCTAGGCCCTTTCTCTTCCCTCCACACCCCATTGCATCATTTCTTCAGCTCATGAAAACTGAGCTTGCTGGACATGAGAAATCTGCCAGTGTGCTGCTGTGTAAACCATCACATTTTGCTGCTGCCTTTCTGCAGTCCTGAAGCCAGCGAGTAACTGCTCAGTAAGCATCTCTTCTACAGCCTCCCTGGGCCCCTCTGTGTCTGTGGTGGGCTGGGGCCTGCTCCCCTGTCTCCTAGCCTCTCTGAGTGCCTGAAGGCACCACCCCAGCGCTTCTGCATAACTCTCAAAGTCTCAGGTGGACAGGGCAGAGAGAGCACCCTCCCCACTGACTGTCTCCTCACTCTCCCTGGCATCTCTCACTTGCTTCACGTGCCATGAGGGTGATGAACCTACACACTCTGGAACACATTCTTTGGCGTCCTGTGCCGTCTGGCCCTCTGAGGGACATTCTTCATGATCCTTGCCGCATCTGCAATGGGAATGCAAATATCTTATTCTCCAAAACTTTCTTTTGAAACCTCTGTGGTTTCATGATTATTCACACTGTTCCCAGTGTCAACGCAAGGCTGGGCAGTACGACTTCCTCCAGCGCAGTCTGCAGAAATCCGGAGTCGAGAAGCCTCTGTCCTAGCACTGCCCCTATCCTAGGTCATGAAAGACTGTGAGTGATGTTCAAGACACCTCTGTAACAAGATGTCTGATCTTTACCCAGTTTCAACCTTTCAGGCAAGCCTAGGGGCCATAATTTGCCAGATGGATGGCTGCATAAACCAGACCACGGATAAACGAAGGCCATTCCTGCACCTTCACCCCCACCCCAGGACCTCGTTCCCTCCCCACAACAGTGCCCGTGGCAACCCCGCCCCACCACCCAGCCCTGCTGACCTGTCAGTACCAGGTGTGTGAAGCACATGCCCTCAGCACATCTCTGCCTTGCCCGGGGCCAGCAAGTGCGCACTGGAATGCTACGGACCAACCAAGTTGCCCGGCCAGCCCTGACCCCAGCGAGTGGAACGGGGTGCACCCTGGGGATCCCCACGTGGCAGCCAAGGCCTTAGGGATACCAGCATCTCGCTCCCTGAATAGACTCCAGGCACAAAGCGGAGCCAGCCCAGGGCGTGCCTAGGCGCACCCTCCCCAGCCCAGGCCCCATGCATAAGGAGTGCTCCATGTCAGCATGCTTGGTGGGCCCCGCTGATTTTGAGAGATGGATTTTACTATGTTGCCCAGTTTGGTCTCCAACCTCCTAGGTCCAAGCAGTCCTTCCACCTCCGTCTCCCAAGTCGCTGGGATTACAGGCGCGTGCCACCACGCTCAGTGCTGTTGACTTTCATGTGAATAGGAAATAAGTTTTGGTGTTTGTTTTTGGTTTTTTTTAAGTGGGACTCCTGTTTTTTAAAAATGGATCAATTTGTCTGGGGTGCAAGCTACTTCTGTGCTTAAAGGTGGAAGTAAGTTCATGCGTGAAAGAAGTCTTGTCTAATTGAAACACGGCATCATGGTTAATAATAAAATGTTATCTGATCTGAGATCAGCTGTTTTTTGAGAATGCTAATGTGCCATTCCTGATTAGTCTGCATGTTTTTTGGGTTTTTTTAAATTCTGGGGGCAGAGGAACACAGATCATCACATCCAGTTGGTAGTTCTTATGCCACTATAGTACAACTTGAAATCCTTTTTAAGTAGAGTGTTGTATTCATTTCCTATTGCTGTTATAACAAATTACTACATATTTAAGTAGCTTAAAACAACACAAATATATTATCTTAGAGTTCTGGAGGTCAGAAGTCTAGAACAAGTGGGCCTTCCTTCTGGAGGCTCCAGGGCAGAGCCCCTTTCCCTGCCCTTTGCAGCTGTTAGGGACTGCAGCTCACAGCCCAGCATCACTCCAACCTCTGCTTGTTCCTACATCTGTTTCTTTGCCTCTGCCTCTTCTGCCTCCTTCTTTCTCTTATAGGGACCCTTGTGATGACATTGGGCCCACCAAATAATCCAGGATCGTCTCTGCATCTCTCAGGATCTTTAATTTAATCATATCAGCAAAGTCCCTGCACCATGTAAGGTAACATATTCATAGTAGTAAGTGTTCAATAAAGAGATATTAAAGATAGCAGCATTTTTTATTAGACCTCATCACAGCTTCTGGGGATTAGATGGAGACATCTTTGGTGGCCGTTATTCTGCCCATCACAGGTACATGCGGTAGGCGCTTCCACTGCCAGGATTTCGGTGGGTTTGACTGGAGTCTGCAGATAAGCAGTTGGAGTCAGGCACTCCTGCTTCTTCCCTTGCTGGAAAGATGCGGTGGCTTTGAGTGATATCCCAGAATCTTGATTCTTCCGTCTGCAAAATGTGCGTAGGATGTCTGAATCACACTGTTGTTGTGAGAAGTTCTAGATAGAATATTCTCTAATATTGCAAGCTTAGGCCAGCATCTAGCCCAATTCCTTGTATGTAATGGAAATTCTTAAGATGTTAGGGCTCCCCTCTCCATCTCTCTCCTTTTTCCTTGCCTTCTAAGGAAGACATTTTTTCTGAGGCCTCCACAGCATTCTTGATCACTTGTACTGTAGAGTAACTTTAAGGTTATTGTAATATAGAACTTCGTAGTATGAAGGTCAAGTTTTTATTTAAAAGAAAAAAGGGAGGGGCCTCCAAGATATCATTTCTCTGCAGACATTAATTGGTGTCATACTTCAAGAAAAATGGCTAGAAGAGAGTGGTGAGTGGAAAGCTGGCCAGTGCCCTGGAGGCTGGTCCTTCTTTGAACTCTCCCAGACTTGGTCCTGCCGCCAGCATCTGCTATGCAACCTGGGCAAGTTATTTCCCCTCTGGACCTCGGCTTCCACATAATAAGCACATTGGAGAAATCATTTTTAAGACTGTCCAGCTCTTATACATGACAATACTTAAATTTTATAGAGTACCCATATTTTTGGCTGGGTGCAGTGACTCACACCTATAATCCCAGCATTTTGGGAAGCCAGGGCGGGCAGATCACTGGAGCCCAGGAGTTCGACACCAGCCTGGGCAATACAGTGAAACCCTGGCTCTACAAACGGTATACAAATTCTAAGAATACAAAAACTAGCTGGACATGGTGGCAGACACCTGTAGTCTTAGCTACCCGGGAGGCTGAGGTGGGAGGATCACCTGAGCCCAGGACGTCAAGGCTGCAGTGAGCTGTGATTGTACCACTGCACTCCAGCCTGGGTGAGAGAGGAGACCCTGTCTCAAGAAAAATAAATAAATAATATAGTAACCAATTCTAAAATAAGACCATGATGGCAGCAACTTGCCCTAAAGGTTGCCCTTATATTTAACAAATTAGAGATAGTTATTAGGAACTAGAATTATATAAAAGCTACATATTCATTTTTGTTTTCATTATTTATGTTAAGCATAAAGGAAAAATACTGACAGTGAGAATTATAATTAAAAGGGAAAAGAGATTACTTGGTATTCAATTTTCTGAGAACAACTCCTATCAGATCTCCACCAGGGAACATCACAGATCACCTAGGCCCGAGGGCAGGCACCAGAGGGTAGAGAACGGTGCAGGGAAGGAAATGGCTCCCGGCCTCATGTACAGCCACAGCCTGGGGTCCATCCAGCATGAGGTCCACACCCAGAGCACATGCTGAATCCCACGCCCAGCCTTATGTTGAACCTCCTGGATCAGAACCTCTAGAAGGAGGATAGTATTTGTGTTTATAAGAAGCGCTCCAGGTGATTTTGATGTGTTGCATTGGTTCAGAACCATCAATCTGCACCAGCAGCTTTGCAGGAATAAACAGTCTCCTGAGGAGGGGAGGTTTAATGTGTTGTTCCGTCTTGCTACCACCATCATTGCTGTTAAATCCACCTCCTCCCCCTTCACTATCCAAAAATGGAAGTGACCGGCTGCCACGGTGTCTTCCTTTTGGCCAGTCGGGCTAACAATAAATTTACCTCTCATCTTCCAGGATGCCACTCTCTCCTGGTTTTCCACCCACCAGTCACTCCCCAGCCCACTGTGCGTGCCTTTGGTCCTTTCTGACCTCTTCACACCAGAGTCCTTGGATCTCTTCTCTATTTACCTTCACTTCCCTGGTGATCTCATCACATCCCATGACTTTAAATATAATCTCTGTCTGACAACTCCCACAGATAATCTCCAGATTAGACTTCTCCCCGGAACCTAGACCTGCTCATTCTGCTGCCCGCTGGACATCTCCACTTGATGCCTCCTAGGTGCCTCAAACTTACTCCGGGCAAATCTGAGCTTCCTGTCTTCTCCATTGGCCCTCTCTCCTCCTCCAGTTTTTCCAACCAAATACTTAGGAACCTTGCTTTTCCTTTCTCTCACATCCCACTAGTGTGAGGTGTCAAGAAACCCTGCTGGCACCACTGAAGAAATACCAAGAGCTCCAGTACCTCTTGCCACCTGCGCTGCCCCCCGGCTCTGTCTGGATCTCTGCAGGAACCTTGCAGCTGCTCCTCGTGTGTCCACTCTTATCTCCCCGTTGTCTGTTCTCCACACAGCAGCCAGAGAGATCCTTTCAAATTGTGAGTCTGTTCATTTCAGTCCTCTGATCAGAACCCTCCGATGACTCCCATTTTTTGCAGAGTGAAATGCAAAGGCCTTACAGAGGCTACACGACCTACATCATCTGACTCCAACCTAAGCCATTGCATCTCTTACCTGCTCATCTCCCATCTCCTGCTTCCTTATTCCACTCCAGCTCATGCCTTCTTGCTGTTCTTTGAAGTCACCAGATGCATTTTTGCCTTAAGGTCTTGGCAATACCTTTTCCCTCTGCCTGGAATGCTCTTCCCCTAGATATCCACACGATTCAATTCTTCACTGTCCTCTGGTCTTGCTGCAGTATTACTTTCTCAATGAGACATGCCCTGACTACCTTATTTAAAAATGCAAGTGCTGCTCATGATCCTTCTTATCCTGTTCTGGGGTATTTTTGTTTGTTTGTTTGTTTGTTTGTTTTCCCCAAACCATTTACTGTCTTATAATATAATGAATAGTTTACTTGTCTTTTGTGTTTTTTGTTTATTGCTGTTTTCCTTTCACCTCTGCCATCCCAGCGTCAGCTCCAACAGGGCAGGAATTTTTGTCTTCTTTGTTCCCTGATACAGCCCAAGAGTCTGTCATGTAGTAGGTGCTCAATAAATAGATATTAAAGATAGCAGCATTTTTTTTAGGCCTTATAGAAAAAACAAAGCTAGCAGATTTTTTTTTTCTCCTAAGTATTTATTCTGTTATGCATTTAAACTATGGTCTACTTGAGAGTAGGAATTATATCTTTTATTGGCTCATTCAGAAAGGGGAGGAAATTAGGCCAGATTTCTGTTTTATTCAGTTGTATGATTACGTATGGCATTTATTTGATGACCTCTAAGGATAGAAACAAATGCTGTGTAATACATGTAATTGTAACTTCAAAATGTGGCTCATGGACAGGGGCCAGCATGTGAACCCACCTGCTTGAATTCGCCTGCATGCCCTACAGGTTGCTAAGATGCCTCAGCAGAGCCCAAGCCTCTGTAGACAAGTCTGAAAAGGGCTGCTTTTCAGAATATGAACTGGACTCTGCTTTTTGTAATACACTTGATATATTCTAATTCAAAATTTAGTCATGTCTGCATACAATGACATACATTTCTTGTATCCCCATGATGGTGGTAGCAAGAAGGAAGACACTGCACAGCACATTCAACTTCCCTCCTCGGGGAACTGTTTATTCCTGCGAAGCTGCTGGCGCAGATCGATGGTTCTGAACCAGTGGAACACATCAAAATCATCTGGAGAGCTTTTGAAACAGACAAATGTTATCCTCCTAGAGATTCTGATCCAGGAGGTCCAGCACAAGGCTGGGCATGGGATTCAGCCTGCACTCTGGGTGTGGACCTCATGCTGATGGGTACCAGGCTGTGGCTGTACATGAGGCCATGAGCCATTTCCTTCCCTGCACCCTTCTCTACCCTCCTGTGCCTGCCCTCAGGCCCAGGTGGACTGTGATGTTCCCCGGTGGAGATCTGATACAGATTTTTCTCAGAAAATTGAATACAAACTATTCTCTCTTCCCTTTTAACTGTAATTCTCACTATCACTACCACATCCCTGTTTCCTTAGAAGCTACAAAGTTAAGATGGACTTGCAACGTTGTGTCCAAAAGTTTCCTAATCTGAAGCTCTGCGCCCGGGCTGGAAATCTGGGCGGGCTTTCTGTGTCAAGAGTGGGATGTTTCATTCTGTGTGTTAGGATTTCAAGTAGCTAAGTTTCTGACCCTCTGTGATGATAGATAACAAGATTTCTCAGTGAGATGAGAAAGCAGTGGTCACAAAAAAAGAGAACTACTATGACACCACATAGCTGCATTCTGACCTTGGGGAAAATAGGCTTCCCATTAGCTTTCTGGCTGGCCTTCTCTGTGTTTGTTACCCCAGCCTGCTCTAGGAATAGCAGGGCTGATTCTTACCTTCTCACTCTCACCGCCCTACTGTTTTCCATACACTAGACTCCTCACATCCGTGGACCTCACATGCTCAGTTTTGATCCTGTGGTCCATGATATGTGTTAATTGGAGATTTTGAGAACATATGCCTTACAGGAATGCCCAGCATTTGCATCTGACATCTTAATATACCTCCGAACCTGTAAAGCGCTAAGAAAGTAACTTAAGGAAAAGTGACCTGAAAAGTGAATTAAAATTAAAACTGGTATTAGAAAGGTAGGGAAGGGAAGCAGGTGTAAGTAAGCCATGGTTTGAAACCTTCATAGTGGGTAAAATCCTTTGGCCTACTAATATCACGCAGAGAGAGCTAGTCTGAGGAAATCACTAGCTGTAAGAACAAACATACATAGACAGGGATAAGCAATTATATGTCATGGTGAAAAACCAAAAACCACTTAAACATTAAAGGTGTAGTTATATATCCAAAATGAACAGCGGCCACAACGATGCTCATGAAATAAGTGCAAAAAAATCGGGATTTTAAAATACACAGTGTGATATCAACTATTTTTTTAATTGTATAATAACATGTATAGAAAATATCTATAAGGAAAGGTACCAAAACATTAACGATGATTTCAGAGTGCCTGGATTATGGGAAATTTTGTTTCTTTATTCTTTATTTTCTATAATAAGCTTGTGTTTTTCAGAATACCACAGTAAGCATCTATTACAACAATACAACGCAGTTCTAAAATAAACATGTATTACTCAGAGAAAGAAATTAATTACTTTTGGAAAAAAAGTAATGCTCTTTAGCCAGAAAATAAAAATTTTATGAGGATAATTATATGCTACAGAGTTATTCCTATTCATGGGGCTATGCAAATGTGTTTTTCCCACTATGTTCCTGGTAGCTTGAAGAACATAATTCTTAATTTTTGATTGGTGGTTTATGTGCTAAACAAGGCTGAATGAATCTGCATCTTTTTTAGTTGTGTAATTTTTAGCATTTAAACCTTTTTAAAATCATTAGTCATTTCTCCTAGTAGGAATAACAACTTTAGTAGGCTTTAAACAACTTTAGTAGTTTGACGTTGGTTGTTTCACTCAGAAAAATGGGTTCAAACTTCAGGCCTTGTTACTGTTATTATTTTTAAACTTCTTTTTTTTTTTTTTTAGAGACATGGTTTTGCTTTGTCACCCAGGCTGGGGTGCAGTGGCATGATGACAGCTCACTACAGCCTCCAACTCTTGGGTTCGAGCAGTCCTCACACCCCACGGCCACCTCAGCCTCCTGAGTAGCTGGAACTATAGGCATGCACCACCATGCCTGGATAGTTTTTTAAAATTTTTTGTAGAGATGGGGTCTTGCTTTATTGTCCAGGCTGGTCTCAAACTCCTGGGCTCAAGGGATCTTCCCTGCTCGACCTCCCAAAGTGCTGGGAACATAGGTGTGAGCCGCCGCACCTCTCCTAAAACTTCATACCATTATTTTCTGCAGAGTAATTCTAAGTATTCAACAAGTAAATATTAAAATACTATGTATTTATAAAGAGAAATATGTAGGAAACTATTGAAATTTAGTTAAGATCAATTGAGATTTATAGACAAAGTTAGCTTTGAATTTAGATGGCCTTTTTGCCATTTATAGCAAAATTATCTTTATAAATAGGAAGAGTACATAAACCTTTACTTGAAAATTAAAAGTGACTATAAAGTTTCTAAATATGTAGTGACATTGTAAGCCTTACTTGAATTTGCCTTTTTGACTCTTTGCAGTCCGGGACCATGTCTGGAGAACTGCCACCAAACATTAACATCAAGGAACCTCGATGGGATCAAAGCACTTTCATAGGACGAGCCAATCATTTCTTCACTGTAACTGACCCCAGGAACATTCTGTTAACAAACGAACAACTAGAGAGTGCAAGAAAAATAGTACATGATTACAGGTAACATTAATTATTGTTTTTTGGTTTAATGTATAAATAGATCATCATGTTAGGCTGTTATCTTTAAACCTTCACTTAGTGATTTTACAACCTTTTTTTTTTTTTGCAATGGAATTCTTTTGACCAAAAAAAAAAAGGAAGAGTAAAAAGACTTGTTGTATCCCTCATTGCTCGCCCTTAACACAAATATCTAGGGTTCATATTAACCTGACAATGAGAGTCACCCCTCTTTGTTGTGGATACCAATCCCTGTCTCCTGGCAGCTTGCCTTCTGTTCTCCAATAGCACCACCACCTCCTCTATGACATCCACAACCCCTCCATGCATTTTTCTGTCTCTGGACAGAAACAGCATTATGCAAAAACAAATTGCCAAGAATCAGGGGTAGTTTGGTTCCTTCTGAATTATAGGCCCAGTAAGTAAAATCCTGTAGGTAGGAGCTCAGATGGCAAGGGTGCTGCTGGCAATGCCTACAGGGACTGCAGATGTGGGATGCACGCCATCAGCTGAGAGAAGCAAACAGGAGGGAAGAGAAGATGCTACCAGTGTAGAGATATTCCATCCAAGGCAGCAGTTGGCCACTTTTTCTGTAAAAGATCACATAGGAACTATTTCAGGCTTTGTGGGTCATTGTCACATATTATTCTTAAATTTTTATTTGTGTTTTTTGTTTGTTTTAACAATCCTTTAAAAAAAATGTAAAAACCTCTTACCTAGCAGGGCACACAGGCCACAACCGGTAGTGTGCTGACTCCTGCACTAGGGGAAAGTCAATCCAAAGCTGGGGACTGGATTGTTAGAAGCTTTGTGCCTAAACGTGCCCAGAAGTGATACATCAGAAGCAGGTCCTTAACCATCATCTAGGTAGAGAGAGAACCAACGACAGTCAATAAACACTGAGTCTGGCCAAGTACTGCCATGTGCCAATGTGCATAAAGAGGGAATATACAGACAGCAGATATACAAACAGCAGAACATCCTGGAGCCTTATGAGGAAATAGTGAAGACAGGCCAAAGCCATAGAAAGCGGAGAGGTTGAGATGAAAAGACAACTACGTGGTTGAAAAGAAGACGGCATAAGGAACATTGCCAAGAACCTAAAAATGTGATTGAAATTGAAAGGTTTACTGGAGGCAGTGGTAAAGAACCAACATCAGAGATCACACAGTAAGAAAAAGAATTACCGGCCTGGCACGGTGGCTCACGCCTGTAATCCCAGCACTTTGGGAGGCCGAGGCGGGCAGATCACAAGGTCAGGAGATTGAGACCATCCTGGCTAACACGGTGAAACCCCATCTCCACTAAAAATACAAAAAAATTAGCCAGGCGAGGTGGCGGGCGCCTGTAGTCTCAGCTAATCGGGAGACAGAGGCAGGAGAATGGCGTGAATCCAGGAGACGGAGCTTGCAGTGAGCCAAGATTGCGCCACTGCACTCCAGCCTGGGCGAGAGCGAGACTCCGTCTCAAAAAAAAAAAAAGAAAAAGACAAAGTAGAATTACCGATGGAGAGAATGAACCTGAGAAGCTTCCTGGGTGAAGACCAGAGGTCGGCAAACTTTCCGTAAAGGGCCAGACAAAAAGTATTTTAGGCTTTACAGGCCACGCATTCTTTGTCACATATTCTTGTTTGTTTTTACAACCCGCTAAAAATGTAAAAGCTATTCGGAGTTCACAGACATAGAGAAACAGGCCAGGCCATGGACTGGTGTTTGCCAGTCCCTGATATAGATGGAAAAGAAAGATATGAAAAAGACTTCTTTAGAGGAAAAGAGAGTAGAGACTGAAGATGAAATTAATTAGTGTTCCTAAAAGAGAAACTAGAAAAATTGCAAATAAGCAATATTAAATATATTTCATAGCAACAGAAAGTAAAATGGAATTTTCCTCAGGTGAGGAAAACCATTTCTCTAATTAAAGAGATCTGCCCTATTTCAAGCAGAGACACCCACACATGGCAATTTTTTTCCTTTTGTTTTTTCTATAAACTTTTAAAACTTCCAAAAGAATCCATGAACAGGAAAACAAAACAAAAGAAGCTATTAAAAAGGAACATGTCAGAAAGGGCTCAGTCTTTTCATCTTTATACTGAATGCCAGAAGATAGTAAGCAGTGTGTGCAAAGTTCTCGAGAGAAAGAATTGTCACTTGGGAATTTTAGAGCAGATCGTCTATTTCCAACAGCAACAGAAAATATGCAAGTGCGGCCAGGCACAGTGACTCATGCCTGTAATCCCAGCACTTTGGAAGGCCAAGGTGGGTGGATCGCCTGAGGTCAGGAGTTCGAGACCAGCCTGGCCAACATGGTAAAACCCCGTCTCTACTAAGAAAAGTACAAAAAATTAGCTGGGCATGGTGGTGCATGTCTGTAATCCCAGCTACTCGGGTGGCAGAGGCAGGAGAATCACTTGAACCCAGGAGGCAGAGGTTGCAGTGAGCCGAGATCATGCCCCTGCACTCCAGCCTGGGCAACAAGCACGAAACTCCATCTCAAAAAAAAAAAAAATATGTAAAATATGTGAGTGCATCAAACATAAACTCTTCATAAAACCTTCTGGGTGGTCAAAAGATAACACAAAATAGAGTTAAAAAAAATAAGCCATAATATAAGGAGATTCCTCAAACAGTGAAACATGAATCACCATGTGACCCAGCAATCCCACTTCTGGGTATATACCTGAAAGAAATGAAAGCAGGAACTCGAACAGATGCTTGTACACCCATATACATAGCAGCAGTATTCACAGTAGCCAAAAGCTAGAAGCAACCCAAGTGTGCATCAGCAGAGGAGTAGATGAGCAAATGTGGTCCTGCCATACAATGGAATCCCATACCTTGAAATATTATTCAGCCTTCAAAAGGAGGGAGATTCTGATGCATGCTACAACATGGTTGATCCATGAAGACATTATGATGAGTCAAATAAGCTAGTCACGAAAGAACAAATATTGCTGATTTCACTTATATGAGATACCTAGAGTAGTCAAATTCACAGAGACAGAAAGTAAAGGGGAAGTTGCCAGGGGCTGGGGGAAGAGGGAATGGGGAGTTAGTGTTTAATGGGCACATAGTTTTAGTTGGGGAAGATGAAAATGTTCTAGATGTGGTGATTTGAGAGTGGTGATGACCACGCAATGATGTGAATGTACTTAATGCCACAGAATTGTATACTTAAAAATGATTAAAATGGCTGGGAGTAGTGGCTCATACCTGTAATCCCAGCGCTTTGGGAGGCCAAGGCAGGAGGATCACTTGAAGTCAGGAGTTCGAGACCAACCTGACCAACATGGTGAAACCCCATCTCTACTAAAAATACAAAAATTAGCCGAGCATGGTGATGCACACCTATAATCCCAGCTACTTAGGAGGCTGAGGCAGGAGAATCACTGGAACCCGTGAGGCAGAGGTTGCAATGAGTTGAGATCGTACCACTGCACTCCACCCAGCCTGGGCAACAGAGCGAGACTTTGTCTCAAAAGAAAAAAAAGGGGGGCGGTTAAAATGGTAAATTTTATGTTATGAATCTTTTACTACAATAAAAAAAATATAAGAAAGTCATCATATAAATAGACAAGTGATGAATGCTGAAACACATTAAAATAGAAATAGTTGTACCTCTAGTGTGAAAGAGTGTATATAAAATAAAAGAAATTAAAAGTGGTTTTTTGTTTGTTTGTTTTGAGATGGAGTTTCTCTCTTGTTGCCCAGGCCGGAGTGCAATGGTGCAATCTCGGCTCACTGCAACCTCTGCCTCCCAGGTTCAAGCAATTCTTCTACCCCAGCCTCCCGAGTAGGTGGGATTACAGGCATGTGCCACCACACCTGGCTAATTTTGTATTTTTAATAGAGACAGGCTTTCTCCATGTTGGTAAGGGTGGTCTCAAACTCCCAACGTCAAGTGATCCGCCCTCCTCAGCCTCCCAAAGTGGTGGGGTTACAGGCGTGAGCTACCGTGCCTGGCCTTAAAAGTGTTTTATAAAAAATGGTAATAGATAGCTGGGCATGGTGGTGCGCACCTGTAATCCCAGCTTGGGAGGCTGTGGCAGGAGAATCACTTGAACCTGGGAGGCGGGGGTTGCAGTGAGCCAAGATCACTCCGCTGCACTCCAGCCTGGGCAACAGGGCAAGACTCCGTCTCAAAAAAAAAAAAAGTAATAGCTATCTGAATCAAAAGCCCTAGATTGTAGTGTCCAAAAACAAAAAGGAAATGGAAGAATTAAAACATCTTGTCTCAAATAGGAACAAAACTCAAAAATATACATGATTTTGCTCCTTACTGTATTCAAGAAATGCATTAACATGTTTTATTTTAAAGTTAGTAGAATATGCATGAACAGAAAATTGTAAGCCTTAATAATTTACTAACATACCAAACAAATTAAAACGTTTTTAAATCAAATCAAAGACTTTAAAATTGGGTGGAAACACTTAAAAAGCTCAGTGATGACATGACACCCCACTTAGAATACCTGAAGCTTGCGTGATGTAATTGTACTTACGAAATTACAAGACACTTTTCCAAGAATCCCTCAATGTCTCCCTTTTTTTTCTCTTCACCTTTTTAAAGCATATAGAACCTTAAAGTCTGGGTGATAAATTGACTAGGCCTGTTCCAAATGAGCTTTGGGGTATTTGTTAGGTTCTGTGCTGATATATACTCTTTTTTTTTTTTGAGATGGAGTCTTGCTCTGTCGCCCAGGATGGAGTGCAGTGGCGCTCCAGCTCACTGCAACCTCTGCCTCCTGGGTTCAAGCAATTCTTCCTGCCTCAGCCTCCCAAGTAGCTGGAAATACACGCACCTGCCACCATCCCTGGCTAATTTTTATGTTTTTAGTAGAGATGGGGTTTCAGCATGTTGGCCAGGCTGGTTTTGAACTCCTGGACTCAAGTGATCTGCCCACCTCGGCCTCCCTAAGTGCTGGAATTACAGACGTGAGCCACCACGCCTCGCCTATATACTTTTATATATATTAATTAGTAAGCCAGTTGTTGAATCAGTATGTA